CAGGGAAGTCACTGCTGGCTGATCTGACACTGGAAACCCCTTATGCCACCAGTGCAAGACTTACTGGAGAACATCTCTCCAAATCCTCAGGTTGCAGCCCCCTCAGATGCTTGGCAGTGAGTTTCATCTGGCTCTGAGGAGACCTTTCTTTGCTGGAGTGAGAATATTTGTCAAAAAACATCCCTCAAAGACCAGACTACCATCACATTTTGGACCTGAACAAACCCAGACAGCTTTCATTCTCTTCTTAATGTGAGCTATAAAGTCTGCAGCAATCTCAAAGCACTGTATTAGTCCAAGAAACCTTTACAGTAAGGAGGTATCTGGGCAACAGGCTTGAACAGGAATTATGTCTACAATGAGGGAGGTTTCTTATAATTGTGAATCAGCTTGCTCTAGGGCTGTCTTAAATAACCCAGACACTGGGCACGGTGCCTGAAGGTGTGCCGTTCTCCACATGTGTGAAAGTCTAGTGAGGTCGGGCTTACTGCATGTGCCAGGAAAGCAATGCATCATACACAGCTGGGCTCCCTGCACACACTGTGCAGAGCTGCTCTGTGCATAAGCAGCAAGCCAAATTAATTGGACTGTTTGTGTGCGCATAGAGTAACTCCACAGCATGTATACTGCAACTCCAGTGCCACTGGAAATACACCCAGCACTCATCCGTGGAATCCACCTCCCAGCCGTCTCAGGGCAAATGTGCTTTGGGGATGGGCTTGTATCAATATCTGTTTGTTCCAGCTGTGTTTCTGTTGTTTTCCATTCGCTTCTCATTGTTTTGTAGCCCTTCTCACCTTTGTCTTTGTCCTCTTCCATCCCTTTTCTACCTGCTCCAGGGCATGGCAGGGAGATGCCATACGTGCATCACCTCCTGAGCCACAATGGAAACACCTGGGATTCTGCACAGCTTTTATAGTGCTTTTTGCTCACCAACAGTTTTTTACCCAAAGAGTTGCACTTTTTCTTCCAGGAAGTCCAGCTGTGATATGTATCCAGTTCAGCCAAATGAGTTTCCTGACAAAGTGCATTCCGCAGCTAGGATTTGCTTGCCCAAGGAAACCCCCCTTTGGAAGTTTGGTTTTGATCCTGCTGTCCCATGGCAGAGTGAGGTGTTAGGTGATGACCCTAATAAATGGTCTGATTTCTTATGGAGCAAAAAGCACTGGAAAGTGAAAACACCCTTTCACCCCTCCCAGAAAATCCTTACTTTCTATGGGAACAGTCAAGCTTCATAAAGGAAAGTTCTTGTTATTTAGGTTAATTAATAGCTAATTGCTTTTCTCAACAGTGGGAGCTGAGCTAGATCCCAGGCCAGGAGCATTGCTAGTTAAGCCCAAGTTGAGAACTGTTAACCTAGAGTGAAGCTCAAGTGTTTTAATGCAAAACCACTGTGAGGGAAAATTGGTGCTCACACTGCTGAAGGGGTTGCCACGTTTTACTTTGCCCATGTGGGATCAGCATGACGTGTGTTACTGTTACATTCGTAAAGCTGTCACGAATAATTAGCATTACTTTCTACTTTTGAATAATCCTTAATAGCAACTTTTATTCCCCCGAATGACCTCCAAGGAGGAGCCTTGCAGATAGTCCAAAGAAAGCAGCTCCAAACACCTCTCTTTGGAAGCACTGTCCTCAGCAAATTAGACACAGAGGCCTTTGGAATGGTCTTCTTTCCAAATGTCTGCTGGTTTTATGGAGGCTAATGATGTAACTGAGAAGCAGCATCTGCACTTTAGGTTGAATTCAGACATTTTCCATGCTAAAATAATTCCAGCTGCTTCATTTGCTTCCTTTTCCTGTAGATTCCTTTCCGATTGATATATTTTATAGTGACAGTTTCTACAGATATTGGCAGCGGTCAGACAGAATTCCTGACTGAAATCCAGACAGGAATTTATTGTAAAATTTTATCTCTCTTTCCTAGCCAGCTGCTGCTCATTTTGGGGTAGCACAGAAGATGGCTTTAGATTTGTATTTTAGTTACACAAAGTTAGTTTAGAGGATTTTTTGCGTTTTAGAGTAACTAAAATGGAAATCCAGGTTTGCTGTTGTGTATGGACCATTCAGATTAGTGGAAGCAGGAGAAATGGACAAGTCCATCTCTACAGGGAGCAGTAATGTGTGCACAGAGCTTCCAAATTAGCTTGTCTTGGCTCCTTAGCGTAACAGGAAATACGCTGCAGGGTAGCAAAGAAAAAGGTCTTCTGGGTCGGAACCTGACGTTGTCTCTCGTCCCAAGAGCAGCTCTTGTTTCAGTAAACTTTGAGGTTTGCTTGGGGCTGGTAATAGAAGCTTCAGTGGCCTTAGAGACTTCTTCCATAGCTGCAAAGATACACTTCCTCCTGTCCGCCACTTACAACCTGCAGTTTACATTGACAGTGGGATCATTACATTTTTCACCTTCAGTTATGCAGACAGTCCCAAAATTTGCCTTCACACTCTGAAGCAATCCAACTTCATTGCTTTGGACAGTCAGTCTCGTGAGAATATCATATTTTACATGTAATGGCCACAGGAATATAATGGTCCCACTGTACCTACATACACTTACAGCTTATGTCATAAAGAAACTCTGTAATACCTTTAAGAACAAATGATCATCATGGCTGTAGCCTTTTTTATGATGGCAAAAATCAGTAAAGAAGGAAAATGTGCCATTTGTGTAAGCCAGTATGTTAACATACATGAAGATAACAGCAAATCTCAGGCAGCAACAGAGCTCTGCAAATTGATGGGACACTTCTCAGTACAAGTGCTATAACAATTCCAGTGTATAGCAGCTGTGCAAGACCTATTCATGCTTGTTATGGTTTATTAGAAGTACAGCAATGCGTCATCATGCTGAATCTTGAGCATGTACAGGAGGAAACAGGAATCCTTCCAGGGCTGTCTTTTTGCAGCATGCTTCACCTTGTCTCCAACTTGGATTTGCATAGAGGATCCTGGGTGTATGGAGTTCATTGCAGGCTCAGGTTTGCAAAATGTCAGAACCCATAACCCTTTCGTTGACTCCAGAAGTCAGACTCTCCCCTCAGTTGTCCTTGGGGAATGAAGCTAAATCATTACTCTGGATTTGGGAGCAATATTTAGGTGAGAAGTTTTTCCTGACTGTGATGCAAAATGATACAAGTGCCTCAGCAGTCTTGCATTCATGAAATTGTAGTGCTGCTTATCATCAAATCAGCAATACCCACTGCTCTTGCAGATGGGCTTCTTTATAGTCTAGCTGGAAGGATGTGAGCACTGAGAAGTGGTCAGTGATACACTATGTACCATTGTTTTTTGTGTTGACAGTTGAGAAAATAATAACATAGCACAGAAGTTTAGTTTGAATTGTTTATTGGACTAAAAACAGCTTAAAACCCAAGAAATAAATCCAGCTGTTAGAAAAAAACGTGTTGTTTGAGGTGGATGAACTTTCATTCTGGGAACTGTTTTCTTGTCTGTAGATCATTTGCAGGAATGGACTAATGCTTTTGTTTTTCCTTGTATACAAATGTAGAACACGCTGAGCAATTAAGAATTGATACCAGTCCATTTAAGGAAGATCACTGTATTTACTTTTGCTGTTTGACCTCAGCAGCAGAGTGGCGTGGCTGAAAATATACCTGCGCTGCACAAAATCAAAGTCTACTAGACAAACAAAAGAAATGTCGTTTTCTAAAGCATCCTTGAAAAATACTTGTACATAATTTCTTGCTAAGATCGGTCTCTACCAGGAAACTTACATAGTCGGTTACTACTTTAAATAGTAATCAGTTGAAACTCGACTTCAAATAGGGTTTCACCACACAGAACGTGCAGGCAGGAATACAGCGGGCAACGTTACCTTGTAGTGGCTTTAAGATAATAATTGATATTTGGCAGTCTAAAGATTTACAATTCAGTCACCTGTGGCACCCACCCTGCAGCTTCCAGCTGCCCTGTTGCTTCCTTGTAGAAGCTGACCTTCCCTAGGAGGAATTCTGCACACAGTAGTCCCTGCAGAAATGCCTTGAGAGACTCCATGTGACTGCTCCCTTGATGATACTGCAGGTGGTACTGTTGGAGAAGATCATATAAAAACACCTAAAGGGGCAATGATTAAGCTCCCCAAGAGAACAATGGGAAACTGTGGAGAAGCGTGATCCTAGCTGAGGAACAGGACTGGAGAGGTGACATTACTCCCTGTAGCCTCCTGTGTAGATTTAGGTTTATGTCATGTGAAATCATGTTTTTAAATTTTTTTAGGGCTTAAAGATGCAGGTGGGTGCCTTTGGTTAGAATCCAAAGCCTCTGAAAATGGCAATTAAATAGCTCCACAGCTTTGAGGACCTGTATCTCAGTTCTCCATTTGCACAGTGGATGTAATTGTGGCTCTGCCATGGAGACAGCTACGTCAGAGCCTGTGATGCGCCTGGTACCTTAGTGACAATATCTCTGCACAGCCCTGCAGGCAATAAGTTGTCTCTGCCTTATTCGCCTCGGTGCTGAATGGTGTTCAGCCTGTGCTAGTGTGCCACGATGCGTTGATATCAATGATTTTCGGCAGCTGAGGTTCAGGCTGTGAGACTCGTTTCCTTCACTGAGATGAGTAAGAGTAGGGAAAAAAATTATGTGTTTGTGTGTGTGTCCTTGTTTATTTTCCCCCACTGTTTTGCATTAGTTGGTGACTGAACGCAAAATTCCCTTTCCCCTATTTGTTCTTACAGGACTCATATAGGAGTTAATCGCCAAAAAGAAAACGTCATGCTATAACAGTATAAGGGATGAAAGCCCTGGCAGGGGCAGAACAGTTTGAAATGCTTTCAGGTCCTAAGGACGTACTCTAATAATACTCCTTCTTTGGCAATAGGGAGTAGGCAAAATAATCCGTGATGTAATGGCCTGACTTGTCATTTACAGCTTGCAAGCTAGTGTTTAGCATCTCAGCAGTTTAGGATTACAGAATTATCAGCAGAGAAAAATATTGTTGCTTGAAATTGTGACGTGGTTTTATAAACTTCCTTCTTTTACAGATTCGGTTAAACAGCAGAGGACTTATCTATTCTGTTGGTCTCCTGCTGGCATCTGTTTTTGTCACAGTATGTATATAGTCTTTTGTTCTTCATTTCCAAAAGGGTGGTTTTTATAGACACTTTTGTTACCTGTTCCTTTCTCACCTCCAGCTGTAATAGTGGTTGCAAAGTCTGTTGTTAAGGGGTAGAAATGGCCACTCCTATTGTGAACTTCCCAAGACCTTAATCTGGCACTTTGCAGAAGCTATTGCTATCACAAGATGGCTCTCATATTTCTATGTTTTTCATGGGAGGAGCCCACGAGATCCATTAGTAATCATTAGCTAGAGTTGAAGCAGATCCCTTGATGTATGACAAGATCGATTCTCCTGTTGGACAGGTAGACCAAATGCTGTATGGTTTCCTTTGGCCCTCTGTAGGAGCCTTCTGAAATACAACACAGACCAGAACAAATAGTGCCTGGACATGACAATGTTTCTATTGAAATCAGTGCCTCGCGTTCCCTGGCCTGTCTAAGTCCAGCATAGCAGACTAGAAATGATAGAGAAGAGGATTTATGTGACATCTTCCAAATCTTGAGACCAGCTGCTATAGGGAGTTGTCCTGTGCATTGCACACCAGCACAATTCCCACGTAGACAAGACTTTAATCTTTTAAGAAGTTTGTGTGGGAGCAAACTGAGCAAAGTCAAGCACAGCTTTAGACTCTGTGGCTCTAGCTCGAGATGCAGAGGGGCACATGAAGCATTTTGAGTGAAGAAAACGCAATCTGGCCTTTGAAAACGTTTCTGATTTAATTAAATGGGGTTGTTCTTGCCAAAATGAAATCTATTGCAGAAACATCAGGCCCTTGGGCCAGGACTCGAGGTGATGTAAGTCAGGGTGGCTTCAATGACTGCGAGGGGCTACTCTGATTTACTTCAGCTGGGGTCTTCGGCTCACTTGTTGCAGTACTTGCATTGTGATTGCTTCCAGGGGTCCACGATCAGTAAGGGGACAGTCATCTTCCTGCTCCTGTAATTGAGAAGGGGATTTACCACTTTATTCGAAATGTTCCTGCTGTGGTGGCTTACTCTGTGTTTATTGTAGGTTTTTGGCGTCCACCTGAACAAATGGAAACTGGATAAGAAGCTAGGGTGTGTGTGCCTTTCCCTTTACGGCATCTTCCTGTGTTTCTCCATCATGACAGAATTCAATGTTTTCACTTTTGTGAACTTGCCAATGTGCAGAGATCACTAATGCAGGTGGCAGACTGTCGGGAGGAACTTCCTTCTTACCTGTGCAATACAAACCACGGCTGGCATCTCCTGAATGCGGTGCACCTCCAAGTCGTGACGTATATCCTGTTCACTGTTCATAGGACCCGTGGCCCCATCTAGGTCTGCCCTCTCCCTGAGCCCCCACCACCTGGAAAAATCCTGCATCGATGTGAAGATTATTTTTATCAACATTCATGTGATTTCCTAGCTCAGTTTTTGAACAGTGAGACTGGGACTCTAGATGAACTGGCTGCTAACTGGCGTCGAGCCAGGCAAAACTGGTCTGCTACAATTCCTTCTTTTTTTAAGTTATTTGATGGAAGACTAATCTAATTTATGACTTAAGACTATTACTACAATGCAGAAGAGGGTACATCGTACAGGGGCTGATTTTCAAGGAGAATCATGGGAATTTGGGGGGTTTTTTTTTAGTTTTTTTTTAGTCTTGTTTTTGATTTTGAGGGGGGGGTTGCTGTTTTTATTTTAATTGCCAGAGATCAATGTCCTCTCTTGCTTCTCCTTCTGAGCGCTGGATCTCCTGTAACGATCCAAAGGTCACAGAGCAGTGTAATATGGGAATACAATTCAAGGTACTTGGCTTATGAAGGGATTTACTGCGTATTAAAAGAAGATTGCCAAGGCAACAGACGATGACTTTTTACCATAAATAATGAATCTTGTTCAGGTATGATGAGGCATGCAAGATAAACGTGGATTCAAAGCGTAAACACTGCTACTATTTTACTACTAATGTTGGAGTTTTATTACTAGAGTGTTTATGGTATTTCCAAGCAATAGTTTGATCGCCAGCCCAGGAGGGCTACCAAGGAGGTGTCCTGGTTTTTAATCGTCTGCACGTGGAAATGGAAGGTCAGAACTGTCTCTGCTTCATCCGATTTCTTGTTTTTGGGGGATCCAATAGTTCATGTTGTATTTGTTCTGAGAAGGACATAAGCACGTGTCAGAACTTTTCTAAATGAGTTACAGACACTGGTTTCTTTAAAAGGCAAGAGGCATATTTTGCACATAGTTACTGAAGTCATAATTTGCCATTCTTTAAAGAATACACTGGACCTGGCCAGATATTTGTCTTCTTAAGCAGTTGAACTTATCTGATAACAGATCATGTGGATTCATCACCCCTCCTTTGGGAGGGAGGAAGACACAGAGAGAGATGGCACTTTTTAAAATGTGGAATATCTTCAATGCAGACTCACTCATAGATCTTAAGTTATTGTGAAAGTTTAGCTATTCATTGTTCCAATATCCCTGCTAGATTTTGTATAATTCTGTATTAATATGCAGGCAGATTCCACCCCATGAGAAACACCATCACAGCTTCATTTGTATGTATTGATACTGTGGATTCTTGCCAGTGCTGGCTCTTGTATTTACTTTAAGCACTGATCACTTCTGATTCATTTGGTATGTTTTTTCCTCTTTCTTCTATATGTTCTACTATGAAATGTATTAAGATACTACCAGCTAGGTGAATGTTTTTGTCTATGGTACAAACAGTGGCAAATATTGGTAGTAAAGGCACAGCAAACCCTGTGTAAAAGAAAGAAAGGAAAAAAAAAGGAAAGCCAAAACCACCAAATCCTAAACTATAGCAGTAAAAAAACCCTCTAACTAAAAGGAAAAAAAAGAAAAAAGAAGAAAAGAGTGCCCTGTTCACAGACAGAAAGCAAATTTTTATTTCATTTGCACTTTTCAAAGTGGATTTTTTTTTGTTTCATTTTCTTTGGGCAAAATGTTGTAAATCAAAATATTTACACCCTGTGGATTCCATTCAGCTCAGCACCCGATTTTCTTTCTTTGTTACACTAAACGTGCGGAGGCACTGGCAGCTGTTCCATTGTGCGCGTCGAGAAGTCCAGTGGAAAAAGCCCTGTACCGCTGGCCTCGGTGAACGAAGTGTGCTTGTGGATCCCTGGCAAGAAGAAGGAAGGGTCCGGGAACAGGCAGTAGAGAGAGTCAATGACATGCCTGTGTCATCATTTTTCGTTCTGGAAAACAATTGTGTTGCTACTTGCTGAGCTACACAGCCTGTTGTTTGAGCAGCCTTCTCGTAACTATGCCCGCTGGAAGTCCTCTTGTGTTAGGAAGCCCACTGTACCTTCCTGTTGTTTTTTTGTTGCTGTTATTTCTCTTTTGGCTGTTGTTAATGAGATTAATAATAATAACAACCACTAAAATGTCTAAAATACTTCCTTAAATCAAACAACATTAGCAACAACGTGGCACATTTCCCTAAAATCCACCCCACAAACACACAGCTATACTCTTGTAGCAAGATGCAGTTGCTCGTGAGCAGAGTGTTTCCTTGCTGACAGAAGGGACAGATTTGGGGAAGAAAAAAAATAAAAAAGAGAAATTTCACATCAGGGCCTATTATTACTTCTATTTTGAATATTTATACTGCTGCTCCAATGGAGCCAGTTGGATCTATTTCTACGAAATAGCCATTACCTATCCCATGGCACAAAAACTGCATGAGTATTTTTTAGGAACTTTTCCTATTGGTGTGCATTAAATACTGTAGTATATCGTAGCTTTGCATTGTGTGTAAAACCTGAAATACCTTGTTTTGACACTTGTGTGTTGTGCAAGAATGTTCAGAAGCAAAAGGTATGCTGAACTGCCATTATCTGTGCCATGTACGATAAGCACTTCCTACGTTGACAGTTTCAGCGAGATGTGCTTACGATTTGCAACCAAATCAACCAGTGCAGACCTGGTTTGGAACAGGATAGACCAACTGAATGTGTGCATTCTTGGTTTTGTCTCCAAAAGAGAGACCCTCTCAAGTTTGTTAACATAATCAAAGCCTGTGGAAAAGTCCCCAAAGCAAAAAGCTTGAGCAATTTTATGCATCCTTCCTGTACAACATTTCCAGAACTCACATAGACAGTTATATTCAAATGCAGTGCATATTAATAGCTTTACTTTGTCCAGCCAAGCAGAGGACTGAGTCTGAGGGGTTCTCGCCTCCCGACGGTCAATTCTGGAAGCTGCCAGCTGTGCATGAGGGCACAGCCAGCACCTGGCTTCAGTTTCCCGATGGGAAGCTCTGCAGCGCCCATTGCTGCCCAAGCCATGGGCCATCACTGGGATGTGGGACCATGGGAGCCTGTCGAGGGCAGCTGCCCCCTACCCTGCATGGGTGGCTGGGCTGGCAGAGCCCCAGAGGCATGGGGCTATGGCATGGTGCAGCTGGGGCTCAGAGCAGGGCAGTGGGGTG